TGGTGCGTCCCGATGACTTTGTGGCATGGCGCCAGAGGCGACGGGTCGCTGATCGGCGAGACGAGCTCGCAAGGGCCATGAAACAAGCGTTGTGTCTGTCGTGATCTGGACGAGTGCATATGTATACTGCGAGACTCTGTTTAGCATTGTTTGAGAGAGAACTCTCCCCTCGCCCGCTAGTCATCTTTTTTTTTTCTTTTTTTGGTTAGAAGTCAATACGCGAAGCATATCTCTCACTCTCTCTCTCTCACACACATAGCTCTATTCATGTACATACGTGGCGCCGGTATTGAAAACGACATCAACCCATCCGCGAGTAGCCCGTAAGGCCCCCTGGCCCCTCTCCCTCCCACTCCGCGCTGAGGAGCGAGCCACGGATCCAGGATTCAGCCGCAGTTTCAGCCTCACGCCAGGGATTCCCGACGCACAGTGCACGGTACCTATGTGGTGATGACGGTCCGGCGAATGCGCGGAGACACTCAAGACGCTTTGACGCTGTACATATCACTATTAGGTATGTATCCACATCAGCGACTTACGGGCAAAAGTCAGGATGATATAAAGAGTTGTTCGTTGGTCACTCGTCTTGCATTCGAGGACTGTCTCAGCACTCCCTCCCATCTCTCTCAGCTCATCTCTTCTCTTCTCTTCCCAGGGGTATAGATCTCGTACTTTTCAAAACGTGGTGATCTGTAAACCTCATCGTTGGCTTTGGCAGAGAGACAGACAGACAGACAGACAGACTCATTCCGTGCGGACCACGACGCCCACCCTCAGAAAAGCGCCAGAATCGATATTGATATCCCTGACCCCCTTTCCTTTCCAAGTACAGCTCTTGTTAGCCGCCCCCGTTCCCCCCATCCCTAGGGACTAGAGCCAGAGCGAGAAAAAACCATGTCGACAATCCCGCCCTTCTACCGCATCTTCTTCAGCACGGTCGATCCGCTCATCGCGCTCAGCGGCGCGCTAACCCAACTCTTCGCCCCCTCGACCATCCTACGCCTGTACAACGCCTCGTCGGCAACGATCCCGCCCGCCCCGGAAACCACTGTCCTCCTCGACAGCAGCGCGGGATACCTCCTCTCAACACTGTTTCTGCAGGTCGTGATGCTGCGCGTGCGGCCGGCCGACGTCCCCGTCTGGCGATGTCTGCAGGGCGCGATCCTGGTCCAGGACGTCGCGATTATTGGTGCCGTGGCGAGGTCGCTCGATGTGCAGAACCGGCTGGAGTGGAGCCGGGTGACGGGGCAGGAGTGGGCGAATCTGGCCATCCTCGCCGGCGTGGGGGCCCTGAGGGTCGCTTTTTTGCTGGGTGTCGGTATGCGTATGGATGAGCTGAATGAGGACAAGAAGGGGAAGGGGAAGGGGAAGGGGAAGAGTACTTGAGGTGGTGCTTGAGGTGCTCGAGTACGTCGACTCAAGGAGAAGGGAGAAAGAGAAAAAGGAGAGTCACCCAGCTAAAATGAAAGACAGGATTTCTTGTTCGTGAGCAAGAGTGGGAATCAACGACAAGCATCATTGTTCAATTACCCAGAAAGGAATGCTTTCCTTCGCATGTAAACCTCATTACTCCCATAATCCATAATACTCGTTGCCACGTCCCAGTGGCATACGTCCATCCCATTGATCCTTTCCTTGTCCATAAAACCCATACCTCAAAAGCAGCCGTAAGAATGATTCCCTTACCTTATTCCCCTGCAGACACTGACCAACATTCCTCCCTCCCCAATGCCCAAATCCTAAATGATGTCCTTGACCAATTTATACCCTTGTCCCAAAGTCCCCACCGTTCCCATCTGCGCCGCAGCCGCGTCGGCAACCTGGTCGGCGGCGAAGCTGGCTGCTTCCTGGAGACCCAGGCCTTGGGCGGCTTTCTGCGCCACCGCGACCCAGAGCCAGCCGCCCTTGTCGGTCCGCAACAGGCCAATCTTCTTGGTGTCGTCGCTCTTCTCGCCGCCGTCCTGGTGTTCCTCGAACAGGTCGCTGACGTTCTTGACCGCCCGCTCGTGGTTGGCGTTGGGTTCGAAGAAGCCCGCCGCGAGGCCGTCGACAGTCAGCCGCTCCTTCACTTCCTGCGCCTGCGACGGCTGCGTCAGGAAGACCGCCAGGACAGCGAGACCCAGCGCGAACAGCGCGTAAACGGCTTTCAGCGTCACAAGGAGATACAGAGGCAGATATGGGACGCGCGTTGCGAGGTAATTGTTGTCTCTCGTCCACTCGAGCTCGTTCTGTACCCTGACGGCGATTCCCGAGCTGAGGGCTACGGCGGCCTGAGAGAAACGGTCGGCAAAGATCCTCGACAGACCCTCCGGTGTCTTCTGATAGGCTGCCAACGCGGCGGCGTCCTGGAGGGACAGATGTGACAGTGGACTGTTGATGGCGAACGGTGCGCTGAAGACGGCACCGTAGTAGTCTGCTACATCCTCATCTGCCTGAAGCTCAACAAGACCTATTGATCCATTGGTCCAGTTGTATCTCACTTCGGCGATGACTGCTGAGCAGCTCAGGACGAAGACGGTATCACCAGTTGCATCGTATTTGAGGTAGTGGTCGTTTCGCATATCTTTGAATTCGTCTTGGTACGTGTCCACTGGTGGGAAGCCCTTTGACCAGGTCAAAAACTGGAGTGGGTTCTGCGTGGTGAAGAGGTTGGTGGTGCTGCTTCCGAAACCCACAGCTTGAGTCTTTGCCGTGTCGTTGAAGAATTGAATGCCGACCATCGCCTCGTCTGGCGCCGACGTCGCATCCTTAGGGTCCATGCCAACCTCTCCGGAGTATGAAAAGGATGGCGCGCTGTAAGCTCCGCAGGTGAAGCCGGAGCTGCGGTCGTCAACGGATGTGACATTACAGTCTTGTGTCACCATCTGGCATTGCGTCTTGATTGCCAGCGTTGTTGCCGCAAAGTCAAGCGTCCTGCTGCTCTGGATATCCCCAAGGAAGTAGTAGTTTGAGTCATTGACTGTGACATTGAATATTGTGTTATTCTCAGAGTTCGACATCAGCGTCTCTGCTGCTTGTTGGGCATTGAGCACACCTTGACGCTCTCCGTTGGACGCGGTCCAGTTCGTGATGCTACAGGGGTAGCTGCAACTCGCTTGAGCATTGCCGGGACAAGTCCGTATCTGCCACTCGTCTGGTCCGCACTGGCTTGAGTTTAGACCTCTTCCAAAAGAGAATGCTGTGCTGTTCTGGGGAATCACCAATGCGATGTTCATAGCCGTGGTGACTGTACCGAACCAGCTGTCGACTGCACCGATGGCGAAGCTGTGTGGCAGAGTTAGTACCATCCATGGGGGAACGACATAGGACGAGCGACCTACGTCATGAAGACAATGAACGACAAACACCAAAAGGCCAGAGGAACTGGTGGAACAAGGGTCTCATGATTGTGCCAGCGATACTTGACAGTATCGAGCAGAGGTTGGGTTCCACCTCCATTGAGCAGTCCGATCAGGATGGATACCTGGTGAGGACTCGGCAGCTTCTCGGATTTGTTGGCAGTAGCTTTCATAATGCGTTGTCCTGCGAAGAAGGCAACAAGAGCCATGGAAGCACCGGTGACGAAAGGTATGATCTTGGCCGTCCATGAAGATATCATGTGCAACACAGCTGGGTTGGTGATGGTCTTGTAGTATAGGTAGTAGGCATGATCGCCTCCATTCTTCTCGATTCGCTGGATACTGTCCAAAGTATCCAGTCCTTCAGTCGCGGCTGTCTCTTGCTTCTCAGGAAGAAAGACATAACTGCTGTCGATTTGGTTGTACAGGATGGCAGTTAAAAGAACACTGGAGATGATGGCCACTGGGACGCAAGGTGCAAATGCCCCCCATAGCAGAGAGGGCAAAGCACCCTCCATGTTGTCTTTGATCACATGATGGGAGGTGGGAGTTGGGGGAGGGCTATCTGAGCTGGTCTGTGTGGCAGGTGTCCCAAGACCCCTTTCAGATAGAAGAGGGATCCTTGTAGGGGACTGAGGCTGCTGTGGCATCGCTGCCATTATGCTGCACAATCAATACAGGAAACTTGAATACAGACCTACTGAAGCCAGACGATGGACCACGAAAACGCGGAAGACAGCGCAAAGCAAGAGCCAGGCTGCGAGTATTTGAGTCATTCATACTCGACCACTTTGGAGAGGTCATACACCCAGTTTGCCGAAGACAACTGGGAAATGGCGATTGCGCAAAAACCGCACGAAGAACAGTCCATGAAGGGAGCGTCCAGCCGACGAAAGCAGCAAAGAGACGAAAAAGCAGGGACTGGACAACTCGTGAAGGTGGGTGAAGCTATTCAGGCATTGGCGACGTGTTTATCAGTCAGTCGGCTGGCCATGGACGACATCCTCAAAGGTGTTTGTGGCTGGCTTAAAGCTGCATTTCAGCTTCGGAAATGGCCCAGTCCAGGCTGAAAGTAGAGCAGCACCCAACGTTAGCGAGTAGATGTGTGGGAGGAGAAAGCATCCGCCTTCCCCAGGCTGAAGAAAAGCTCGTTAGGCTGGCCAGTCACGTCACGTCGAGTGGTTCGTGCTCCATCGCGCAACCATTTCCCTTCACAATGCTGTCCTCAGGACCGGGCAGCACACCATCATGGGATGTTCTGGACTCGGCCTCGTAACTTGAGCTTTAGCATGGACGCAGGGCAGACAGACGCAGTAGGTTGACCTTCGAGGGGAGTCTGACTTACTGTGCCACCTGCTGAAAGGCGCAAAGCCAGTTTGGGCTCATCCTAGCGTACCTTTGGGCGTCGACATTCGTAAAAGTGGAGGATGTCGAGGAAGAATCAAGTGAGTTGGGATGTGGTGGGAAAGTGGCTGGATTAGACTATCCGGGGTCGCAAGCTTTAATTCTCTTTGGCAATGCTTGACAAGTGCTTAACAGTTTCTCAAAAGGTGCCTAGTGGCCCCCAAGTTGCCCTATTTAGTAAGGGAGCATTTTACAAGACCTTCCGTATTGATCTATCCGCCTAATTCACTGGCAAATCGCCTACCCGTACGCTGCTGCCTAAACCTCGTAACCTTGGGTCTGGCAGTGCGAGAGAGCGGCGGTTGGTCTAGGCGCCGAGAACGCCTCAGACCTCCCGAGCTTCCTTGACTGCGGGTAAATATCCTTGAGATCAAATGGCCATATTTCCCTCAGATCACTTTCATCTCTTATGGGTTCATCGTCATCAGTATCTGCGTCAGTCAATACAGCTTCTAGCATGTTTGCAAACAGCTCCTTGTGTGCCAATACTGTCGTTTCCCAGGCTTCAGACGGGACCCATCCCTCAGAGGTAGTGTTGAGCAAGCCTGACAGATCGCGTTTCAATTCCTGCGCGGCCACAAATCTCTTGTATTGTTGATGAATCACAAATTCTTCAGGAGTAGGTGTTGTAAATGGGCATGAGCCTGGAAGACCAAGGCTTGTCCAGTGCTGAGATGTCTCAATGAGTTCGCTAAGAAAAGCCACGGCTCCATCCTTCCAGGTTCGATAGCAATATCGAAATAGCCGGAATAGGGACTCATCTAGGTAACGGGGACCTGCCAACTTGGGGACAAGAAATTGCACGCAAGCGTCAAATGCTTTTGCACATAGCTCACTGTCAGGGTCCCTTTGGCCAAAGGGATCTGGTATACTCATCGCAAAGTTCGGGATGTGGTCTGCGTACCAGAATCCTGGCTCGACGCTAGCCGATTGCCAATCAATGATTCCAGTAACTACGGTGGGGTCATCTTCCGAAACGAAGATATTTCTCTTGTGGAAGTCAGGGTGGAGGAGAGTTGGAACAGCCGCATTCAAGATTCGTGAATCTTCAGACATCTTCTTGATCACAGACCGGCCCGAGTCAAGGAGATGAAGGTGATCAGATGGCGATCCCTGATATCGAAGTCGGTTCTGGTGGTCGGAATCAGGAGGGATCCTAGCAATACCTGCATCGATCAGACCGTCGCAGTATGCCCCGAGGTCGGACCCTTAGGCTCATCAGATATTGATATACGCCAGGTAGAATACACTTACATGGTCCCTGATTAGGCTTCGTATTTTGGTAATATCTAGGCTCAATGGGGTTGCAATTCCAGTACATTGCCCCACAATGAGGGCCAATGCAGAAATCTTGATTCAGTGGAACCTTTGAAGCAGAGCTGAGACGAGCGGTGGCATGATATAAACTTCCGTATGCTGGAAATTCCACGTTCGCAATTTCCTTGATCTTTTGAACGATAGCCTTGATACACCGAATCCTTTGTTCTCCGGCCATGTTAGGCCATATTTGGTGTAGCTGGACACCATCAGCGTGTTCCATGATTATGTATTCGGTCCCAATTGATGTTGAGGCGTCATCGCACCAGTCGAGGACTTTTGGAATAGGGATACTAGTGTTCGCTTGTACTATGCCGGATCGAAGAATTAGTTGCATAGCCACCATATAGTCTGTAGACTTACTGTAATGGATAGTCGCGACTTCTGACTGAGTCGTCAATCTTGGTGGTCCGGCGAGTGCAAAGGGGAGTCTGGCGACGATACTCTGTCCATTGTCGGTGGTGAAAATAAAAACTCTGTTGAACCCTCCTTCTTTCTTCTCGCAATTCGAGATCGACGCTGCCCCTGGACACAACTCAATAACTCGCTGACAGAGGGCGTCGAAATCAAAGGTGATATGTCGAGCGCTGCGCTCTAACTCGTCGCCACGGAGCCATCGGCCGCTCGTATACGCGTAAGGATCGAAGCCTGTCTCAGCATTAGAGATTCAAGTGACCAAAAGGCTGTAGCGACAGCAGGTTGAACTTACGATCTCTTCTGCTCAAGGCTATCGTCCGGATTGTGCGACGACGGCACCCGTTAAGGTAACCTGGCGGTTTACTCTGACGGCATAGCGCAAGAGGGCCGGTGCTGAAGGCCTTGAAAGATGGAAGTTGCGCTCGTTGTTGGTGGATGACAACACGCCCTCCAGGCCACAATGGGCAAAGAAAAATTCTACTCACGGCCAGCTTGCCACTGCGTCCTTTGTTACCAGCGCCGTTGACAAGGATGCAGAACTCAATAAGCTGTTGAATTCTCTGCAAAGTCAAGCAAAGCAAAAGCTAGGTTAATGATGAGGTAAATATTTCCGCCTTGGAATCAATTACAAGGACTAACGTGGAAGGGTCGAGGCGAACTCATTCATCTCAAGAAAATACGGCAGGCATAGAAGGATTTTGGAAGTACTGTCTGCGTTTCGCTTCTATAGTTCCATGGGGTGAACGCTACTTCTAACGCGGAGACGTCTTCATTTTGTGGTTTTAGTCGTGCAAAATACCCCAGGTCTGTTCAACTGTGGAACTTCGGAGAATGGCCATCGGGACGAGCGAATACGAAATACGAAATTACAGGCTCCCTATACCGGAGCAGCCCTTGGGATACTGGATAGGAATACTTGAGTAGAAATGACCACTTCTGGAGTATCTCAGCTTTCGTCCTCGAGAATTTGTCCATGTTTGATCTTCCTCCACTATACAAGCCACGATCCTCCTTCTGAAGGAATGTCTAGCCCGGGTACCTCAAGGGGAGGATGGACAGTAGGTTTTGCGCACGAGACTACCTAGGTAGTAATCACGCACCACTGACCTTGTCTTCCCTCACTCGTGATGAAACAGACGCCCTTTAGAGGCTATGGTCTCCTCATGTGAACACTCAAATCGTGCTGTCAATATGCTTGCTGGTTGCTCCATCTCATGCGGCTGTCGAAATAGACTAATGATTTCCCACTTGATCGCCCCATTCCCGCAGTTAGTTTGAATCTTGTTCCCCGTCCCGCCAATATACCGGTTGGCGTGGTCATCTTGAGCCAAATCTGCCTGGGGCAGGTAGCTGGCCATAACTTCGATGCCTCAGACAGGCTTGTAGGTTCCTGGCAAATGTCACGTAGGATATGCGAGGTGGGATGTTTCTTGCACGGTAGAAGTACAGGACACAGGAGAGATGTAGGTGGTCAGGATGATGTCGTCGAGTCGGAGTGTATCTTCAAGGTAGTAGCGATGAATGCCCAGTGAGACTTTACTCATTGCTAGGCTCCTCAAGCAGGCCAGAGGCGTCCTGAGAGCATAAAGGCTGATGGAGCGAAAGGCCAGTCCTTGAACTCGCAAACATGATCATAACGGCTTTCGCATAGGGCGCACGAGACTCGGTGGGGATACAACTCTCAAGCTCTGTCAATGAGGAAGATGCAGCGTGGGTTCTGGAAACGTGAGAGACGGACGCAGGAGCGTCTCAGTCTCCCTTGCACGGCGAGTGCAGAGGCAGTCAAGTACCAAGTAAATAGTCGGTAAGCAGCAGAGAATCGAAGTATTCGGTACTCCTGGGTTGTGGTTGGGTGCTGGCGTCGCTGACTGACAGACTGACCGCCTGAACTTCGGGCCAATTTCCCCAAACCCAAGCGCTGCGTCTCGAGCCTCTCTCTCACACCTCTCCAAAATCAATAAAATACAAGTCGGTCGTAGATTGCCGGCACTTTCCCTCACTTTTCGATACTCGACCTCCGAACAAGCGCTGGCGCGTGAGAAAAAGCGTGCTGTCGCGCTCACTCCGGAATGTATCTCATTGTGAATTGAGCTTGGTCTGCGTTTCCTGGATTGGTGTGTGTATTTCCGTGTGGGCAATTCACTCTCCTGAAGTGATCAAAAAAAGGCCAAATATCACTGTAGGATATTATGGTGAGTTTGCGAAAGAAACCACTCGTACAGACAGACTGCCCTTTCGATACATCTTACTGCACTGGACGACCAGCCTGCGATACCCTCCCTGCCTACGCTGACCCTCCTTGAAATATAGTCCCTCCCCAGCCCACCTTCAACGCGAGGGGCAGGAAGCCCGCCTCTCTCCTTGCACTCGTATCACGCCTCCTCCACCGCCACCACCACTATAGCAGCGTCAAACGGCCCCCCCGGTAGTGGCGGCGGCGGCGCAACAGACAACCTTCACAGTCCCAACGAGGCGGCGACGAAGCTCGCTGAGGCGATCGACGATTTCCTGGGCGACCTGGAGAAGAAGTTCAAGGGCATCAGCGACGAGATCCTCACAAAGCTGGACGACATGGCCGAGCGGTGTGACCGGCTCGAGCAGGAGATGCTGTTGAGGGACGCGAGCGCCATGGAGAACGTCAGCGGTGGGAAGGCAGGGAGTACGGCCGGGTCGAGCTGATGTTGGTCGAAAGCGAATTTTGGCGGCAAGCAAGATACATACATAAGGACTATCATGACAAGCGGATAGAGCCAGAAGGGGATTTCTATGCCTGCGTGATAAGAGTACCATGACCGAACCGGAGCCTCGAGATTGACATGGGGCAACAGAGATATCTCGCTTGTCTGAGGGCGCGGATCACGAACAAAGTAGCTCAGGATTTGAAGATAAGCCAACCCCGGTTTCTCGATGAATTACACGAATCCAACGATGGTTGGAAAGAGGTCAACAAGTGGCACGACGAAAAACACACGTGGATAAAAGCTGGAAACCCATCAAAGCCTTGTTTAAACTCCTCTAATGGTGGTCAATTTACACATCCATTTTGCCTGCAGACCCTTGTGCTTTTTGCTCAATCTGCCCGTGATATCGCGAGTGTTCCCACGCAATCGTTTCTCGTTACTTACAACTCGCTCTTCGGCTCTGGCTCCTTTACCAAGAACTTCGAGAGAATGTTGCTCCTCTTCTGCAGGTCATCGATCTTCTCCGGGGCCAAACCGCCCTTCTTCAACAGACCTGCCAGTCTCGTCTGTTCCTTCATCGCGTACTCTGGGTTTCCTGTCAGTTTGGACAGGGCCCGCAGATAGTAGTCGACCGATGTGTCCTTCAGGTCCTTTGCTGCCTTCTTGATCTCGGCCGTCGCCTGCTCAATGTCCTTCAGGCCGTTGGCCGTGATGTATTTGGCAAGAAGGTTATCGATGATTTCGATAGTCCCAGCCTGGGAGTTCAGCCCACCACCAGGAACCCTATAGGTGCCAGCTTTGGAGTTGACAAAGTCCACCAGAGCCTCCTCGCTGCGAGCACCACTGTAGGGTTCTGCTTCCGTAGAGCCCTTGGGGAAGAATTTAATAGTCGGGTAGCCGGTGATGCCTTGGGATTGAGCGGTGGCCTTCGAGTTCTCGGCTTCGGCGTCAACCTTGGCGATCAGAACGTTGGGCTCATTGGCGAAGTCGGTGGCGAGCTTCTCCCAGGTCGGAGCAAGAGATTTGCAGTCTGAAAGCCAAAGATTAGCATGCACCGTCCAATCGTAGATACTCTCAAGGGGCAAACATACGTCCGCACCAAGGCGCCGTGAAAGCGACCAAGATGTCCTTATCCCCTCCGACTTCCGACTTGAACGTCGTGTCCGTCAACATCTCAACATGACTTGGTGCCTTCTTCGGTCCCTTGCCCTTGACACCAGACTTCTCAGTCACAAAGGCCGTCAAACTCTCGAGATCTCTGCCGCCATTGTAGTCCTCGGGCTCGGAGCCGGGCTTCCCATCAAACCATTTCAACGTTGGGAACCCCTGGACACCGAATCTTTTGCCTAGGTCTTTGTGCTTGTCGGCATCAACATTTGCAATCGTCACCTTGTTACCCGACGCTGCGAAGGCCGTGGCCAGCTCCTCATAGACAGGAGCGAGATTCTTGCAGTGGCCGCACCACGGGGCGAAGAACTCGACGAGAGCAGGCTTCCCGGACTCGAAAACGACTTTGTCAAAGTTTGAAGGAATCAGATTGATCACATCTGAGGCCGCCGTGAGGAGGGGCAGGGCAAGCGTTGCCAGCGGGAGGAGGGAGCGGAGTTGCACCATTGTGGCGCTGTATCGAGTGGAGGGTTGTGGTACAAGGAACTCGAGTGGACGTAGATGGCGAGACGGGAAGAGGTCGACAGAGGAAGATGGAGGAATTGCGTGAATGCTTGGGCTTGTTGGCCAGGATATATACGATCGACGCCACTTTATTTCAATTGCTTAAAAATCCGCGTCTGGCATCCCTGCCCCCTGCGCCTGCGCCCCCTTTTCGAGGCTGAAAAGCCACTTGTCCTTGTAACTCAGCCTTGTCCCGTAAAGGTCCAATCATCATTTCCCCTTGCGCCCCCAGCAATAATGTATGGATACATACTCCGGTCGGGCGTGTGATTACCCAGGCTTCACTCGAGTACAGCGAAATGGGTCACAACAGTTTGTGACAATGTTCAACGGCCAGGACTCGTTCGAGAGTTCAGCGTCTCTCTTGGTACAGACATTAGTTTAAGGCAGGTATGTACTCATACATAGATTGTACTCTCTCGTAAAAATGCCCGACGAGAAATTCAATGAGAATCAGAGACACTTGTCCTCTCACAGCATCCCAACGCCGTCCCTCGCCTTCGCTTGTTGCTTGCCGTTCAAACATCAACAACTATGCAAAACAATTGATTGATGGTCATGATTGCCGTTCGCCCTGTTGGACTGGATCCTTCTGTTCCTCATCATCCAGCTCCGTATAACTGGTGATATGCGCTATGTGCGTCAACGAGCACTGCGGGAGAGAGTCAGTCGTGACCTTACCAAATGGCACAGAGCACTAGGGACTTACTTTGTAATACTTGTTGCTGAGCCTGTTTACTCTCGCATGCACACTGCACGCATCTCCCATCCTTCAGATCGAGTAGGATACTCCACGCCATCTCTTCGCGTTCAAGGTCAGGTAGACATGGCCGGTTGAAGTCGCTGAGATGGTATTTACGACTAACACTCTTCATGTTGGCGTCATTCATCGGTGGAGAAAATATCAGGAATCCTTGGTCATCGATCCTCATGAAACGCCGTTTCCATAGGAATGACTCTGGGAATTGGACGTTGACGTCCCCAATGTCAACAACATGCATCAATGACTCAGCTATCGAATCCTCCGGAGTGAAGTCAGGTTGTTCTCGTGCAAGATTTACTTGGGACTGAGTGGCCTCTTCTTTTGTCGCAAGTTGATTCCTGCTCCGCGCATTTGCTAGATTCGACATCCGCTTCATGAGCCTGCTAGTCATTGAAGACTTCGGTTTGTCCTCAGAAATTGATGCTGCGTCACTGTTTGACCGCGGACCTTGCCGTCTGTAGTGGCTTGATTTGGACATTTTGCTGGTATTCGACTCAGACCGAGGCAAGGTTGGATGAGAATTTGACCGATGGGAGGAAAAGGAAAATCGCCCTCTTTCCGACTTGGTGGGGCTTTTGACCCTGGGTTGATTCGAAGCCAGTGCCTGATCCAAGGTCGGCTGGTCGGACTTCTCGTGTTCGACGATTAGAGGACTCCGGTAGAGATTGAGGGGAGTATTGTAACTAGAACTTGGAGCCAAGGGGGGATGCTTATTGCTAGAATCACGAACAATCCTTGCGGTAACAGAAATCGTCTCGCCTTTCTGTAGCCTGTGCACATCTGACGACGGACGTCGTGGCTCTTTCACAGCGGCCGATGGATGTGATTCATATTGACTGCTTGCTGTGGGTAGGTGCCGAGGAGGTGAGTTTTCGGTCGAGGCGTTTGGAGGCTGTTGCTGTGTCAAGAATGATGAGCGCTTCATGAACGCCGAGAAGGCAGAGGTGCCGGCATGCGTCTCTCGGACTGGCTGAGGCTGTCGTGGGGGACTTGCGTCCTTCGTCCTCAGCACTTCCAGGGCCTTGATGCGTTTAGAGATACCTGTTCCGAGGGTAGCCTTTTTGGTAAGTGGTAGTTGAGCTGACTCTGTAGGCAAAGGTGGCCACTGTGGAAGAGCAGTCGAAATGCTTCGTACGCTGCCACTGCTGGGTCTGTTTCCATCGGGTGTTGTTACAAGATTTGGCCGCCCTGTGGAATGACTAGAGTTCGGTGGTTTGACAACCATCTCACGTAGACGATCTGAACTTCCCTTGGACATTATTGGGGTCACTGGCGACCGAGCCACTGAGACTGGCATAGCTTCATGGACGGTAGCATGCTGGATCTCGTCTATTAACGAGTCATCTTCCGAGAGATCTGATGCAGACGCATTGCCACCTGGCAAGAGTTTTAGGGCTTGTGGAGGTCCTAAGCGACCAGATTTCTTTGGCGAATCCTCATCCTGTTTTAACGGTGGATTAGAAGGTCGGGGCTGAGTGTCCGAGTTTGGTTCAGGCCTGCTCTCTGGGACGAGACCGTCAATTCTAATAACTGATTTGGCTTCCACGTCAGCAGGTGCTGTATCAACCTCAGTCTTGGAATCATCCTTGTCGTCCTTATCGAAAGGCGCCATGCCCAAACGAGCTGATGGCTTTATATCGATCGAAGCCACATCAGACGCACTTGGAGCTTTGTCTTCCTGCGAGAAAGCTTTTGGAGTGAGAGAGGAGCTTGTGGCCGATGATAAAGAGCGGCGAGTACGGGAACAATCATCGTGTTCGCTGACGGAAGAGGCTTGGGTCGAAGGCTCTTCCGAAATATTTGTCATGATGGTCGGCGATGTTGTATAAGATGATTGAGTCAGCTTCGTCTCCTCATCGACGTTTGACAGCTGTTCGTGACTTGGAATCGATGATAGACGAGTACTCGATCCATTGGCGCTCGCATTCGACTCCGACGCATTGTGAAGGTATGTATTTGAAGGGGCGGGTGTTGCAACCGTGGCTGCTCTTTGGGCAAGCAGCATGTTCCTTTTCCGCAATTGTAAAGCCTTCATCAATCTTAGCTTTTCTGGAGTGGTGGTCGACACATCGCTAGTCACAGAAGATGGCCGGAGGATCGCAGAGCGACTATCCCCCGCATTATATGGTGCGTGTAGGTAAGACGGCGACGGCAGAGGTGGCGCACCATTCACAGACTGACTGGAAGGAACAAAACGGCCTGGTACGCTTCGACTCGACTGTTGAGAGCCTGGGCGAATCCCCAGGCTGACGAGAGACTTGTTGTTTACACGGATAGAAGTTGGAAGATTCGCCACTGGCCGTATTCCTGTGCCGCTGTCTGTTGTTCCGGACGTCTTGGGTCGGTGAGTTGTCTCAACGTGAGGACGCGGACCCAATTTTTTCTTCTTTGGCTTGCCTGCTGTATACGATGCGACGTTACTACTCCATTGGCTGATGCTGTCCGATTCGGCGGCCGAAAGGTGACGAGCGTGAGGACGAGGAGTTGTTGGGTTGGAGGCGTCTGCCGTTGCTGTAGTGGTCTCGAGGAGGATGTTGCTGGTTGCTTCGAAATCTGGAGCTCTAGGACCTTCGCCCTCGCTCGTAGAAGGAGGAGTCGGTTCGGGGGTCGCGGGGAGCTCCTTGTCGATGATGGAGGGAGGTAGTGGTGAGCGTAGTGGTGAAGCCGGCGGTTTGGGGGATGTGAGCAGACTTTCTTTCCGCGGAGGGTGAATATTCTTATCTGATACAGAGGGAGGACCAGCATCGTTGTTGTTGTTGTTGCTGTTGTTGTTGGCGGTGGCGGCAGCAGCCTCCTCCTTCCTCTTTGCCAGAAGAGCTTTTGCAAGAACTGCGCTTGCCGGAAGTTCATCTAGTTCATGTCTCCCGAAAACTGTGTCCGGTGTCGATGTCACCATCGGCAACTCATCTGGCTTTTGCGATGTGAAGCGAAGGGCAAGCCCAACGTTCTCCTCCTCCTCCGTCTCCTCCTCAACTGTTGACACATCGTCTTCAGCATCTTCGGTAATTTCGTTGAGTCGGCGCCGTCGAAGGGAGGAGCTTGACGAGGTTAATGAAGATGCAGAGGGTAATAGCATAGTACAAAGTCCGAGGGCGGACTCTGTTAACTCAGAGGCCGTGGCAAAGGAGAAGACGGTGTCATGGGGTGTGAAGGTTTCCAGGACCGATTGAAATTGCACGGTGAGCCGCACTGTAGCGGGTGAAGCAAGTCAGTCAGAATCTCTTCCAGGGCCACGATGTTCACCCACCTTGCAGCAATCGAGATGTTCCTTCTGGCACATATTTGAGGACCACTTTCTTGCGCCGATACTGCACCAGCCCGTACAGCGGCGATTTCTCTGCATATTGCTCAATCACTCCACGCACGGCCTGCACACCCCCTGTTCCCTTGCTCAACAGTTCAACGGTGTCGCGATTGACATATTTCAGTAAGAACCTGGTCCATGTAAGCAGGCGTCACGGCAGACGGATTGCGCAGAAGCACGAGGAAGCACAGCGGCGGTGAAGTGCGCGACATACCATCCTCCTGCGTCCGCCTGAGCAGCCTGGTGTGCATCAGCGACTGCAGCTCCATCAAGTCCATTCAATGACATTTCTCAGCCCTCATTGAGAAGGCCCACGCCTGCGCAACGGTTCGGAATCGGTTCTCATACAGTCCAGGATTTGGGCGCGAGGCTTTACAAAGACCAAAAAACGCAGGAGAACAAGGCTTGAGGCGATCAGGGCAGCCCTTCGAAATCAATAATGGGCCCGACGCCAACGGCGAGCAACTACCAGGACAGCCCTCGCTCAGCTTAGAGATGCAGCTTCGAGGGGAAGCCCACATGCAGGATGCAGGACATTCTACGAATGGGGCACAACGCTCCATGTTGTCCGCAGTTCAGGGGTGTTGCTGCACCGGACCAAGCGACCAGGGTAGCCCACCGACCGACAGTCCGTGGCCGATGTGCCCTGGCACCAGCTGGTGTGCCCCGTTTCTGCGTGATGGTGGAGCGGACTTTAACGCTGAAACTCACGACCAAACGGCCGATGCTAGAGCCTTATTCGCCCATGTCGACAGTTCCCACGAGCCAATTTCCCGAACCCTGCCCTGACCTGCGGCTGGAAGCAACCGAGACCGACGCTATACCTTTTTCCACATGTTTGAATTTCCTCCCTCCTACGTAAAACAAGCGAAAGTCTGTCAGAAGATTCAAACCCTGGAGGGTGGGTGGATAATCCTGAATTGCGAATTGTCGTCGATCCTCTCTGCTTCAAATCTCAACTGCCACGGGTATAGAGCCGATCTTTACTCCGGAGCAGAAGACGAGAATGATGGCTTACACAGTCTTTGCAAAACAGCGTACGGATGTGTCTCAACCAGTACTGTGACTTTTCTGAAACAACCCCAGGAACTTTTCGCATGTGCCAATATCGAAAGTGCGGAATCGGACTCGAGCCTCTCCTGCAATACTCATACGTTGATCGTGACATTTCCTGGTTTCCTTCATTGTCAACGACGAGACATCGTTCGCATCCTAGAAAATCTCCCAACAATCCGTGCTCTTCGGACATGTGGTGCTCGATGAATAATGGACACAGAATGGCTCGATGTTGCTGCAAGGAATGTCTGATCCCCCAGAATCGCCGGTCTCAGTCCGCCCCTCCTTCTCTGCGAACTATTGATACACCGTCTATTCGCGTGGCTGCACACCCAAGTAAGCGTATCAGGAGACAATAATGGGAAGAGGCTGGAGCACAAGTGGCACCATGGGCCATTCGTTGTCGATGGCTACGGCGCATTATTGCTACTCAACCTACCAATTTTGCAATAATCGTGACGATCAAGGTGATCCAGCCTTTTCGCGAATTCGACGCCAATCCACGTGAAGCGGCTTTGAATGTTTCGGCCGACTCCGACCACTTTACAAGCGCCAACAAGGGCACTCCATATGACGTTGGGCTGTTTTGAGTCGCAATGACCTTTCCACAGAACAGTCCTTCACGACAAATTTCTTTACATTCGAGTTTGGAGGTCCTGGGCTGCGCTGTGACCAAGTGACGAGACATCCCTCACGATGACATCTCTTCCACCAACATCAACCCTCCCAACACTGGATGCCGAACAAAGGGCACAAATTCTCGACACCCTCTTTGAGCCGTGCCAGCAACTGCACACACTATCCGTCAGCCTACTGCGAGAACAGTCATTCCCAACCTATGACTCTCTCATTGATGCCGTAGGCCAGCAGCTGCTGGGACTCTTCCGATCAAATTTGGAGAGCGATCAAAAATGGCTAGAGGCCATTTTAGCCGCCCATCCGCGGTTAGGTGAGAAAAAGGTTGACAGTGAGCAGAGTCGCAAGGAGCAAGCGCAACTGAATCAAGGCGGGACGGAGGAGGCAGAGAAGCTGGCGGCCATGAACCGGAAATACGAAGACAAGTTTCCAGGTCTACGATATGTGTATGGCTTCCCACTCTCTTGACCCGGCAGTTTCATGCCCTTCGTCACTGCTGATAAGAACAACAGAGTGTTCGTGAATGGACGAAGTCGCCCCGTCATCATGGAAGACATGCAGCAGCGAATAGACAGAGGCGACATCCAACTGGAAAAGCAAGAGGCAATCAAGGTAGGCAGTACTGCTCTCGTGAACCCGTGCAGCCTCAGTCAAGTCACCCAAACTAACGCCTTCTTCTGTTCCCGCCAAAAGGCAATGTGCGATATCGCGAAGGATCGTGCGAAGAAGCTGGGCGGCTGAAATTGCATGATGGATCGTTTCCTATGCCCGTATCGCTGGCATGAATGAATCGCGTGCATTGCACGAATGGGCGGGAACTTCTCGCGTCGTCGACGACAGCTATATCAAACCCGACAATAACACAATAGCACCTATCCACGACACATCCACGACAAGCTGGCATTGCTACCGAAATCGCTCGACACATTGACACATCCAATGCCGCCCAATAGTTAGATATACATTTACAGCCCCTTAGACAACAAGCAGGGGCCGTTTCTCTCCTGCCCTCCTTTCCCCTTCTTGTTATCGCGTGCTTCGTAAAGTAATTCATAGACTCCTTCCCCACGAAAAGGCAGAGCGAAGCTAGGAATGGCCACGACGGATTCATATCAAATGTAGCAACTCGGGAAGAGATAAAGGAGTCGCTTCCAGTGTCGCGCGTCGAGTTTGCACCAAGACCATAACCCTGGGGCACAGACAAGTCATCATATTACAAATTTGTGTCGGATGTGCGAATCCATCAATTCCCTTCCTGCCCTGCCCGCCCATCACCAAGCTGTATTAAGTCACCGGCATCCCATCCATTACCCCCTCCCTCTCCGGGTTTTAAAACGTAACGCCGCTGCCAAAGCTCAGGAGTGCCAAATGCCCCAAGTGAAAAGCCCCATGCAAGCATTCAAGCATCCGAGAGAGTGGACCGAGTTTAACCATTGGCAATTCGAAAAGCTGCCATTCCCTCATTTACCGGTCAACTTCTTTCTCTCGTCATCGCTGTCTTCATCTTCCCCTTCGCTCCATTCAATCCCATCGTCGCCGACGGCAAAGATTGTCTCGCCATCCAACGACATCCTCGGTTGCGGCGGATTGGGAGGCTTGGAAGGCGGTGCTTCTTGCGTACTATTTTGGAGCGCAGGTGCTGGGGAAGGCCTCCTGGCTCCAGAAGGTTCGTGAGCGATGGCGTCCGTGATCGAGGTCGCCGCTCCACCTCCGGAGGGGGGAACTGCTCTTTCTTGATCCTTTCGTGCGTTGGCGGCCTCCTCGTCATCATCGTCGATGGAGTCCGCGATGCTGCGGATTTCGAAACCGTCGTCATCTTGGGCGAGCTGTCAAAGCAAAAATATATCAGCTGAGTGTCTTCTTCCTATAGCAGCCACTTTTGAGACAAAAGGGGCATGACAAAACTCACTTCATCACTCATCGCAAACCGGCGATTGTTCGCCGTTGGCCTCCACAGATATGCAATAAAAGCAATATTGAACAAATACACAAGATTCAACCATCCATCTAGCACAAACCATCTGGTCTGCCAATGCTCTGGCACAAAATTCGCGGCCCCTGACCCGGCAATCGCGAAGCTGTTGATGAAGAAAAAGGCAAAAATGACCAGCACACTTCCCAGAATGCACCAGGAGAGCTTCTTGTACATCATTGCCTTCGTCTTTTGCTTGCGGTCGATAAGATCCTTGATGGTGACATTGAGAGACGACAGTGTCCACACATAGAACGCTGTCATGGTACCTGCGAGTGGTAGGACGACGAAGAGAATGAGGGGACCGACAGATTCGGGGGTTACGGCCATGGACGCGATGGCATAAATAACTCCAAAGATGAAGTGTGCGGCAGCTAGAATGCGGACGTAGATCATTGTCCTGCCGAGGGACGGTTTCACCACCCCATAGCCCATGCAAACAATCAGAAGGAGGAAGAAAGAGAAGGAGTTCCGTCCAGCGTTGAGGATCGAAACGATGATCATGAATATCTTGTTGACTGCGTTGTTACCGTGACGGTTCTGATAGTCGTAGAATCCCCATGTCATCAGCTGCTCGACGATCAAGAAGATGATAATGGCCGTGATGTAGTTTTGTACTGGAAGTATATCGGAACGGTTCTGGAAATAGAGGAAAGCCCAAAATACCCCCAGCACAGCGTAGACGATGGTGAGGCCGCCGTAGAATGGGAGTTTGGCTATTTGAGCTGCCGGCAGCTCACCATATGCGTTCCTGAACTCCACCACACCGTTGTATTCGTGATCGGAGAAAGCGTACGTCGAGACGCAGTAATAGCCCGTCCGACGGATCGGGTAGTTGATGGCCTTCGGGTCTTTCAAATGGATTGCTTCGTTTGAGATCGGACTCTTCGAGGCCTCTGTGGCATTGGGGGCCAGTATGAAAGCGCCTACATCCTTCTCTTCACATAGTCCTTGTGCCACAGCGTCCGTGGTGCATATTGTCTGGAGGTCTCGGTAGGACTCCCCGCCGGGCGGCATCCTGCCTATCAACGGCTCATCCTGCCACTCGAAAATTATGAGGCTTGCGATCGGGTCGGTTTCGTCTTCGGTTTGGTCCGGGAGGAACTTGACGAGGATGAAAGGATCTATTGATCCGCCCCAAGATTTCCGACTGTACATCCCAGAACACCGTTGGCGGTGTTCGTCATCTTGTTTCTAGTGATGGTCAGCGGGGAGAGCACTGCGCAACAAGACGCCCTCCTTGCTCTTACGATTTGAACTTCATCTCCGGCGACAATGGCGGCTAGGTACGCCAGGAGGCCGAGTGAAGGCACCCACCGGCGCATGGTGAAGGTAGAACCGTTCCGGGTTGCAGAGGCAGAAACAGTCAAGGGCAAGAGTAAATACAGATCACTGTCGATTGTCACACCCAAATTTATTTAGTCGGAGGGCATATCAAGAGGGCGAAGTGAAAGGCATGTTGTGGTTGTCGAGGGAGAGGTGTTGCCAGCTGCGATGTTGTGACTGGAGGATTGGGGGACGGAGGAAGTACGACATCCCGTTTTGGCTTGTCGGAGACATTTCCAGACTGCGCCAGGCCGCAGTTGCTTTCACTCAATAGAAACAATTCACTGAGTCTGATGAAATCCTGATGGAACCAGCTATTTACTGGTGTATCTTCAACTAGCACGATCATTTCCCTTGCAGGTTCAGCAGATCTTCATATTAGTTGCGCAGCTGTCTACCACAAACGCAGGGCACAGGCTTGAGATGAATCTCTTAAGAGTGGTGGCGTGGAGGGTCACCGCTTGATAGACATCGTTGTATGCTCTATTACAGAGCATGCAATCAGCGAACTGCATCCAGACTACTCATCCATCTTTCCTCCTCGTTGACCGTTACTTAAATTTGGCTTTTCCTATCAAACTTCTCGCCGTTTCACAGCATATGAGCGGTGCCAGGAAGTCTGTGTCATGCTTACACCCTTGCTTCTCATCACTGTCCAGAATATCGTTGATGGCCTTGTGAAGCTCGCTTGCCACTGTGCGATTACTTGTTAATGTTACAATTTGGCTGGCCCAGCCATAGAAGAAGACTGAGGCGTTGATAGGAGTAAGCCGCAACCGATCCCTCACACGGGCAGCGACGGAGGTAGGAAAGGATTGGCATGATTCGACATTCGGCGCCACTGAGGTAGACTCCGTGCTAAAGAGAGCATTGCCGTCGAAGTCGACCACTCTGACCGGCAATCGCATCGTTGTCGGAATAGCATGCATCGAGAGTTGACCAAAAGCCTCCCTTAGGGTCAATGAGGGTTGATCTCTGTATTGTCCTTCACCAAGGAGGATCTCGGCGCGACTCACTTCGCTCGGCGTACCCATGCATTGGACGATCTCCCGCATCCTCTGAGCAGCGTGCAGTGTACATTCTAGATCTCGCGCGGCAAGGAGAGGATATATGTCGTTGGGCAACATCGGCGATGATACCTCGGAATCGATCTGGTTCACAATCGCTTTGTGATAAGTCTCGGACTTGCGCACAGAAACTGACAGCAGTTGATGACTTGGATAATGTGATATGTCAGAGATCAATGCCAGCAATATTGTACAGTCAACATTGATGGTGCTGGTCAAAGCGACTGTTGGTGCAGTCGGGATCAGGGTTTCAAGATCGAGTTGCCGCTCCTCAACGAGTTTGTGGATATCCATATTGCATTCAACAATGGCACCAGTTGCGCGTAAGTCGGCAAGGAACGCATCCACGTCAGGGACGATACCTTCGCGAAGATTTGGTAAGACAACCCGAATCTGTGGGTGCTGAAACTGGACTCTGACTTCTTGCGCCGCAGTTTTAAGATCTTCACAAAGTCGCACAAGTTCAAGTTTACCTGGCCCCCTTCTATCATCGTCAGTCCCAGGAGTATGTCCGTTTTCTGTGTCGCTATCTTCACCACGATCTCCGTACGTTTCCCAGCCTTCCTTGGCCATCTCAAAAAGGAGCCGTTTTTCCGTCAAAGTTGAGATTTTGACCCATTGCAATCCGTTGTCGGCCACAATATCCACCAATGTCTCTTTCTTCGTCACACCCCTCAGAATGGCTTTTCGGCTTACCGATTTATCCTCTCGAATCTCCTTACCGAAAGTGTTGTCATTTCCGGCAACGAACATTTTCTTACCCAGAGCCGTAATATGACGACATGATTTTGCGATACCCCAGACAGCTTCATAGAAGGGTAGGTTAGAGCTCCTCAGCGCGTGTAGTTGTGGACTTTCGTCATCTTGCAGGTCTGGTTTGTTAACAATACAAGGAGGGTTGCTGTAAGAGGTTGCAAGCACGTGAGCTATCTTTTCCAAGCTTTTTAACTCCGACTCAATCCCTCGTTTGAAGACTCTGAGTTCTACTTGCTGTTGCTTTCCTCGGGCCTTGAGATGCGCCTGATATGATTGGAATTCCTGAAGCAAGACCCTCGCACGGGATTGGAGGCTGTTGAGAAGGTCCGCCGAGCTCCGTGGGGAAAGTTCATTTCCATCGTGATCATACGAAGTAAGCATTGGAGCTCCTTTGCCGACTTGCGAGCATGGATGGGGTAGTCATCGAATGTGAGAAGCAAGATTATGTCCAGTGGTGAAGAGATGCGAAACAGGTGCCGTTTGTGAAGAATGTGACTTTAGGCTGAACCTTGACAGTACTCAGGTTGCGGAGTAAGTATACCGAGTGACCTTCTTATTGGCGGAATCAGACATACTGCCAAGCCCGTGCTGTATTCCTCTCAACTGGGTGCGCCAGTGAG